TTCAAACTGGATTGGTAGACTGCGCACGCGGAAGAAAGGAGCAGCATGCAGCAAGAGCAAGGAGCCAGAGTATGCACTCTCTGAAGATGGATAGATGAGACAACTATCTGAAACATCAGATACAAAATAAACCTCTCCCGGTGAACGCCTTTTTTTCTTCTGACTTAACGGTTTGTCAAGTGGCCAATGTAAACGGCTCCACAGGTTACCTATAAAACGGAAATTACAGGACGGACAAAATTAGGTTAGCGTAGATGAATGATGGTGATGGGAGCAGACATACCTGTTGGGTGAGGAAACGAACAGTCACCTGGGCGAAGATGTTGTCCTTTCCAATAGCCTCCTCGGTTCGCATACTCACGACACGAGGGGGTTCTAGGCTGCCTCCGAACTCCCAATGTAACGTCCGCAAACGCAGCCCATCGGTCATCTCCTGCAAGTGCACGTTGAAGGAAAGTAAATCACCGATTAATTCCGGGAGCGACGTTATATTTAAACATAATTTACACACAACCTGAGCTTCTGGATGACGAGTCCCACAAGAAAACTGTCACGACTGCGTGAGATTTTAAGGCTTGCAAACCGCATCAAAAATTGGATTAGCAGGTGTGATGCATGGCTGTCAACGTGGCACTCCCAGGAACAGGCACATGATTCGAATTTTGAGAAAAAAATGCAGGAGGTAGTCACCGCAGAGTAACCACGGAAGCAAAAAAACAAAGATAGCTAGCCTATTATCCACAGAGTTATCTCTCTTGATTTGATGTGCCGGTAAAAGTTGCATTTGGGGTCCACGACAGAACGCGAAAACCCCATCTTTCTGTAATACGGGAACGGTGGTAAGAGGGGTTAAATAGGTGGGACATATCAAGGGAAAGAGAAAAGTAGAGCGTATAAAGGTAAAAAATAGTAGGAATAATTATTTAAATAACCAAACATTTGCGCGAAACAATTAAAATGAGAAATACAACCAATAGGAAATAACAGATACCCAATAGAGCCCAATTAGATACAATCATCGACTCTATATCAACTCCATGTCCGCGGTGGCTCTTTCACCATTTTTTTAAAACTCACAATAGCTTCTAAGCCAAAAGGCAACCACATGTCGCCAAAAAAGGTAAACATAAGTGAACTAAACGAAGAGGAAACAGCGGATGCCAAATTAGTAAAACAAGACATGCCTACTGCTACGAAGTAAGTAGACAATTATGCGAAAAATGAGCTGTAGTGGACCCTAAACATAACTGTTACCAATGTACCTAGCTGGTGTTCCACCGAAAATTGCCGTATTCTGTCGCCTTCGAGACAATAAACGGTATTCAGAAGTCCAGTTTGGCGAGTATACGTGTACTTTCGACAAATTCTCGTCAGGCCTTGCATTTATATGGAAACTGGGTGCGAGTTTAAACGTGTTCGTCTTTTCGGACTTGGTGTGCCATTGACAGGGATAGTTAGCCTTTCTCTGATTTTGTTCCACATACTTTCCTGCGCACCCAGTTGACTGCATAGTAGTAGCAGGCCCAGAACATGTCACAATTATGACCTCGGTGGGGGCAAGTACCTCGCCGAAGAAGATTTGCGGACGAGCTGAGCACATCCATCGTTTGTGTCCTGTTTAGCCGGGCTGCGCAACTCAAAAATTGCATTAATCAGCTCGCAAAAAATTCTCTGTAAACTATCACAAGCCCACATCCAATGCCGACTACTTATACTTGTATCAGCTAACACCGATGCTGGAGGGCTAGATTTCGTAGTGCGGCCGAGCCCTCAAACGCCTGGCTGGGTCCTGAATAATTTTTTAGACAGGTTCAGTGGCGATAAAAGGTGGAAATGAAGGCCGGTAGTTTGGATAAGCAAGGAGGTGGTCTGCTGGCGGCGGGTTTAGTCATGCGGTGGGCATAGGCTGTGCGAGTCTTCAGGTCACGCCTGCGATTTAGTTTCTAAGACCAACAAAGTAGGAATGGATTAAATGGCGATGAGTGCTGGATGGGGGGTGACAGCAGCAAGACGTGACCGTCAGAACCAATGGAACGAGTTAACTGGCTCCATGGAATCAGCTTCAAATCCTGGTAATTTCCACCAGCTCTATTACCTATTACGTCAAGCAGCTGGCAAACACAAAACCGCCTTGCACTACCGCTCGGGATAACTCGAGTCAAGTGATAACTGATATGGCTGGCAAAATCGGTTGATGGCGAGAACAGTTCAGTTAGCCTATATGTCCATCTACAAACCTACAGTTATCAACTGGAATTCCATACGACATTGAATGCGAGCCACCTACGAGAGAAGAACTTGAAACGGCATCGCAAAGATTGAAAGGTCGGAAGGCATCGGGCGAGCATGACATCCCAGCGAAGTCTACAAAACTGGCTGTTCTACTTTGACAGAATCACATCATCGACTGTACTTGACTATATGGACTACATCCCGACTGACTGGTCGTCGTTCATTATCTTGCCGGTACTGAAGCGCGGGGACATGCCCATATGTGCAAATTATCGCGGCATCAGTCTCATCGATATAGCCGCCAAAGTGGTTGCGACCATCCTTCTCCATAGATTTTCGATTGAGCGCAATCTTTGCACGCGTCCTAACCAATGAGGATTTCGTCCAGGTAGAGGATGTATTGATCAGATCTTCATTCTACGCTGCATACTCGAACACAGATACAAGAATCAACAAATTATTACCACCTGCTTCATAAACTTCTAGAGCGCCCTCGATTCCATCGACAGAGAAGCCTTATGGCAAACCTTGCTTGTTGACGGTCTCCCAATAAAGTTGCTCAATCTAATCAATGCCTATTATAGCACAACATCAGCCCGAGTAAGAGCCCTGATAGCACCAGCTTTGATGCTGAGCGATAACTTAGTTTTGGGCTGTTAGCCCCAATGTACTTAGTATGTCGTGGAGAGGATTTGACCAGCCCCATAATCGGAGTAAAATTGTTGACCCCGCGTACCTCAATATACCACAACCCACCGCGTACAAGTCTCGACGCGCGGTACTTTTGAAAGGGTTATCCAACTACCCAGTAGCTTTGTACACGGTTC